CCTTAAAATGCACGGTTTAAAACAGTTAACGCTCTAAGGCTTTCAAATTTCACATCCAAAGCTATGACATGTTTTACTATTTTATGTTTGACTTGCTTAGACGAATCCAAATTCGTATGCAGATTTCAATTTGTTAAATTTTAAGAAAATTATCGCGGTTACTACACTGCAAACAAGTGAATTAAATGCTGTTTCTCATAATGCCAGAGCCATCTTGGTGCAAAGTAGCCACGGATCGCCTTCGCGGCCAACTTTTGCGGTTTGGAGCTCATTTAGTGCAAGAGAAACTACCATTTCAAGTCTCAGTTTCAGAACCATTCTTAATCATCCTGGTGATTCACGATTTGTGATAAAACTATCTATTCTGCAGCAATTATTCAACCTTTAAGTATACAATTTCAGAAGCAAACAGTAAATTTTCGACGAAAATAAATCATTATCAGGCCAAAATACACTCAAATATGTATGGTCATGGTGCCCCACTAAAAAGTGGTCATGGCTCCCCACAATGCAGTTTTCGACTCTAACAAGGGAAGTGCCCCAGGTGTTACATCCAGATTTTGATCAGATTTTGGGGATCTCTTCTACTATACAATAGACTAATTTTCCGCATAAAAGATTTTGCTGAGATATATTACAACGGGTTTTAAACCTAGGTCCAAATTTTCAAAATCACTCAAAAAATATTTTTTGACCAAAAAGTTTCTAAATGGCCTGAAACGTCCAAAAATATGATTTTTTTCGATTTTGGAGAAAAATTTTTTTTGTCCTCACTAAAGTCCAAAAACTAAAAAAAAATCCAAAATCACATTTTAGACCAAAAAGTATCCAAATGGTCTAAAACGTCCAAAAATATGATTTTTTTCGATTTTGGAGCAAAAAAATTTTTGTCCTCACTTAAGTCTAATAACAGGAAAAGTAGCGATATTCATCGGCAACTTTGGCCCGTCCCGTACATTAAAAAACGTTAAAATTTCGCCTATGTTTGACCCTGACGGGAATTAAACCTGAGTCGGGGGTTTAAAATAAATGTAGTTTTCGTCATCAGCACCCTCAAAAGCATCTGAAACAATGCGAACACTCGAATAAAAAGTATGTTTAAAATATACCCCACTGGGATTTGAACCCGGGTCCAAACTTCTCCGATTTGCTTGAAATTGGCACCATTGGTTTTTGTCTTGTCACCCTGATTCCAAAAATACCCCTACATGCCCTCCTTAGCTGTATCCGTTGCCGAAATCCTCCTCGACCCCATGTACACCATGATGCACCTGCAGCAGCGCCCCCGGGGCTCGGATCGGATTTGCTGCCACCGGGCGGTTCTTAGGGTCACCCAAGGAGGCTGCATACCAAATTTGGTCAAGATCGGACCACGGGAAGTCCTCGGACGGACGGACGGACGGACGAACGGACGGACGGACGAACGGACGGACGGACGCACAGCAGGGATCATACTACTGTATATGCCCGTCCCTCCGTCATTTTTTTACAAAAAAATAAACGGGACGGGCCAAAAAATGACGTAGTTGAACAGGGTCAGTACCTGACCTTACCCCTCCCGGACCTTACCCCCCTCATTTTCTAATTTCTTTTATGAAAAAGAAATAAATTATTTTATATTAAATATAAAACAGGAAAGTCCGGGACCTTATAATAAGTAATATATAAGTAAACTGATAAATAAATAAATAATTAAATAAATAATTTAAAAAAAATTGAAAAGCTGTTCCACATTAATAGATAATGTAGTGTGTGCAAGGGCTTAAGGAACGGTAGAGACGTTCAGGTTTACTGGTTTATTGTAAGACGTATCAGGGTCAACACTAGGCGACAACTGCATGCCGGCTCTGCTGAGCGGCTGTTTTTATAGTTGAGGGTACATTCGTAAACCAAAGGACCGTGAGTGACCATTCTAGGAGTCCTTGGCAGGGAGCTCTCTAGGCCAATAGTATAGGAATGGAACGGAGTGTGTTTGGGTTAAGATGGCGGCTTGCATGCAAGTGACCAGATATGGTTAGGAATCTTTAGACTGTATTTCACACCAATATGTCATTTATCAATTTTAATTATTGTTTTACACTTTCAAAATTAAGAGGCCATGAAATCAAATCAGTACTTCCTGCTTTCACCTTTCACCGATTTATGGCTCACATCAGCTGAACAAATCAAGGGCGGTTCACGCTATAACTACGTTCGATCTCGTTCAAAGCCTAGAGGAAGGGGGAGGTGAATTTTACCTTTCTCTCTCTTCAAATCGTACATTGTACCCCCTAACTAGTAGCATGCCTGCAAGCACGCTCTAGCTAGTGCATGCCTGGCAAGCATGCTCATACTAGTGCATACATTCCATGTAGGGCTGTAGAGTTAAACCATGCGCATGGATGCTTGCATGCATGCATGCAGGGGTTTGCGGATCGCCATGGAATCCATATAGAAAGGTGTTGTTTTCACCCAACAGGAGTTAGAATGACAGTTTGTCACATAATAATGCTCGAAACATTTTGGCTTTAAAGAAAAAGGGAGTTTGGAAGAGCACTAGCGACAGGGCGGGAGTGCGTGCATGCATGCACGCAAGCGTCGGGCGTCGCGCTGAAAATACCATTTTAAAAGCACTGCTATCAATTCTGAAAAACTTCTTATGGCTAAAACTTCTTCTTGGGTCATGCCAGATGGAAACAATAGCCTTCTGAGTGGATTCCGTAGCGATCCGCCACCCATGCATGCATGCAAGCAAGCATCCATGCGCACGGTTTAACTTTACAGACCCGTACACGCTTCCTGATGCAGGCAACTCCCTATCCCTTAAGCACTAGATGCATGCTTCAGTTAGCGTGTGCACTGTGCATGGCATGTATGAAAGTGCATGCTTGCCAGGCATGCGCTAGATGCACTAGTTAGTGCATGCTTGCCAGGCATGCGCTTGCTAGAGCGTGCTTGCAGGCATGCTCCAGTTAGAGCATACAATGTACGCTCTTCGTTTAGTAGAGTTCCTGTCTTTGAACGAGATCGAACGTAGTAATAGCGTAAAGCGCTCTTCACTCGTTCGCCTGAGCCATTAAGGAGGTGAAAGCAGGAAGTACTGATTCGATTTCATAGCCTCTCCATTTTAACAGTGTTTAACAATAATTCAAGTAAATAAATGTATTGTCTATTACTGGGGCAAATTGGCAAAACAGCTTTTCAATTTTTTTTTAATTATATATTTAATTTTTTATTTATTTAATTATTTATTATTTATCATTTATTTTTTCTTTAATAATTAAATCACTAAATAATTTTTTTCAATAATTTTTGAGGGGAAAGGGTTTTGGGAGGGGTAAGGTCCTGGACTTTCCTTTTATATTTAATATAAAATAATTTATTTCTTTTTCAGAAAAGAAATTAGAAAATAAGGGGGGTAAGGTCCGGGAGGGGTAAGGTCAGGTACTTCCTGAGTTGAACATTGCGTACCATACCTCAATTATTTTGTCAAAATCTTGTTATCTGGCTTTCAAGTTTTTTCACGAATATTGACTAACGTCAGAACAAAAAGATTCTCCTAACGCGAATAAAATCATATTTTTTAAAGTTGCGGATCTTGGAGACTATTTGGTCAAAATGTATATTTTTTTTAATTTTTAGACTTAAGTGAGGACAAAAAAATTTTTGCCCCAAAATCGAAAAAAATCATATGTTTTGGACGTTTTAGACCATTTGGAAACTTTTGGGTCAAAAATGTGATTTTGAATTTTTTCCAAGTTTTTGGACTTTAGTGAGGACAAAAAATTTTTTTGCTCCAAAATCGAAAAAAAATATTTTTGGACGTTTTAGCCATTTAGAAACTTTTTGGTCAAAAAATATTTTTGAGTGATTTTGAAAATTTTGGGCCTAGGTTTTAAAAACCCCTTGTAATATATCTCAGCAAAAACTTTTATGCGGAAAATTAGTCAATTGTATAGTAAGAAAGATCCCCAAAATATGATCAAAATCTGGATGTAACACCTGGGGCACTTCCCTTGTAAGGCTCCCCGAGCAAGCAAAAAGCTACTTAGAATTAAATTATGTTTGGGTATTTTGCCGGAGAGCCGACATTTTGAAAAAACCTAAGACATCGAACTTATCTCCTCAAATGTGAGAGTGAGAAAAAATATCTCAGATTTGAAAAACGCCCAATTTAGCCAAAACGCTGTGACAAAAATTTTGGCGAGGTGCTATGGTCGTACCCTCGAAGCTAGAAGGTAGGGCTCTGGCTAAAAATAGTTAGAATTCTATTCTCTCGAAAGTCCAGTCGACCGGTTGCCGTCGGCAAAGTAAGTTAGTTCCCGAGAGCGAGGGGGTTGGTCATGGTGCCCCAGTGGTCATGGTGCCCCACCCTCCCTTAGACAGTTAGGTTTGCAGTGTATACGTACTTTTTTCTCTCTTGCTCATAACGTTTTTTGTTTTTTTGAGCATACGTAAAATGTGCTATTTTCTCTTTACCCATGCACAACTTTGATCGTTTTAAAGATCAATAAAATTGTCTTTAGATCATGTAGAAATTGTAAAGTAAATTGCTAATGACAAAAATTCAGGTGAAATGAACTAATACATTAAACAATGCACAAAATAGAGTATAGCCACAAAGAAAATAGAACATAATACGTTCTGCACAAAAAACATTTTGGCAAGAGATAGTCAATACGAGACTGAGAGTGAATATTACCTATGTAAGGTACAAAAACCTAGTTTCTTGTATTACGATTCAGTTCGTATTTTGCGAGGTATTTTCTTTGAAAGCTTCTGCATGCTCACAAAACTTTATTATAACAAGCTCATTGTGTTTGTAAAGCTCAATATATTTAAGATTTTCATAGAACGCGAAACCTTGCAAACTAGACGCGACCATGACATCCGTAACTCTTGTCCGAATTGTGGGTCACTCCAGATTTTTTAGAGATAAAAAAATACTGCATAAACCAGATCTGGTGTGTATTTGGATCATATTTGCTGATTTCAATTTTTGTTCGTTCCTTGTGTTGCAGGTATTAAAATGGAGCCCGCCGAGCCGAAGCGAACCTGCCTGCCGATAGTGGAGCGGGGATGCTGCTGCGAACTGGCAACGTGCTGTAAAGTGCAGGGATGGCTGTTGATAGTGAGTACTCGGCACTTCATGACAACACTGCAAATACAAGCGTCGGACAGGACGGCCACACAGACTTAAAACCTTGTATTTTGAGCATTTGAATAGTAGTTTCTTCTACGAAAAATTAGGTAGTAAGTTCCATCGTATTTTCTTTGAAAAGCACTGAAAAAATGGTGATACATCTCACACGGTAAAAACGGTTCCTGGTTTTCCCAGGAACTCCCTGGAAATCGCCTATGCCTTCACCATTGGCTTCCTGGGAAAACCAGGTTCCGTTTTTACCGTGCACTCTCTGGGGTGAGACAAAAGGGTGATGCTAAAATGTATCACCGAAAAACTGGGCCAATCACGCTCACCTTTTCGGTGATACATTCTTGTGCAACCTTTTTTTTCGATGATAGATTCGTGTACGACCTTTTTCTCGGATACATTTATGTACGACCTTGTTGTAAATTTGCAAATGTGAAGTTGTAAATTTACGACTTCAGTACTAAATATTCGACATATTTGTCGCTCATTTTGAAACGAGACTTTCCGTTTTAAAAAGAATCAAGTCGTAAGTTTGCGACTTGATCGTAAGTTTACGAACGATCGAAATTTTGTTTGGGAATATGTACTTTGGTCGTACATTTACGACTCTTGTCGCAAATTTATGTTACGGATCGTAAATGAACGACACAAATCGTAAATAAGCGAGCAAACTTGTAACTTTTTACGAACTTGCCCGGGATTTCAGATTTTAAAATATTACGACCGATTACGACATTGTCGTAAAGAAGGAGGAACCATGACATATGCTCTGACTTAATTCTTTACATCGACCATTATTTTTCTCTTGTTTCAGGTCGGTGCCACATTGAACATACTGAAGAGTATCGCCCAATTATACAACGTCTCCGAAGGGTGCAATGCTTTAAAACAGGTTTGTAATTAACGCGGACGTCAGACAGTGAATTAAGAAATTGCATACATGGCCCAGCGGTTGAAACCACAAGTGTGTTGTCACCGGGCTTTTACACACCATAACGTAGACCGCGTGAGTTTAGTCCTGAGTCACTCCCAGCTTACTGGATCCTGTTCATTTATGGTAGTTGAAAACAATGTAGAAAAAAATTCCGTACTTTAGCACGGAAAAGGCACAGAAGAACATAGTACGTAAGTACGGAACGTCCGTACTTGTCCCATAAGAACTCATGTAATCGGGTACGGAAAAATAGTACAAAAGTTCTATATTATGATAGGTACGGACGATCCAGGCAATTTTTTGACCAGACATGTTCCGCACTTTTTATGTACTTTCTTCTCGCAAGGTAGGAAAACGATGTAGGGAAAATGATTACATATTTACAAAATTACGTAAATTCTGCATCCGCCCTGAGCTCCGTTCATGCAGTTGATTGCTCGTTGAAATGTACATGCCGGCACGATTCAGGAGTGGGCCTTCCAGTTTTGCAGAGTTGAACGAGGTCGCGAAGTGTTTCTCGGACACGAAAAAACACGGCACGGACGCGTTTGTGCGCTTGTCCAACTACACTCCTTTAGGTGTGTGTTTCTAATCACACTTCTGTAGAAGTGTGCTTGTCAAACACATTCCTACAGATGTGTGCTTCTGAGCTCACTCCCACAGCTTTCTACCAAGTACTTATTTGATCTCTTAACATATTCTCACCCCACCCGTTTTACCCGTCTCGCGGATCATTTTTATCCACCGACGTTTTCTTTTTACAGCAAGGGCGAAGTTGTTTTGGTGACGAGGATCTCAAGTCTATCTTCTACTTCTTCATTTGTTCCCTCGTGTTGAACATCATCATCCAGATCATCTTCCTGGTGACCGCCGTGCTGTTCCTTCAAGGCATCGCCAATGTACGTCGCACTACACTGTGGCAAAAAGCTACGGAAAATTCTGTAAACAGCTTGTGGTAATTCTCCGTAGGCCCCTTATCAATATTCTCCGTAGGCTCTTACAGTATTTTCTGTAGGACCGCACAGTATTCTCCGTAGGACCGCACAGTGATCTCCGTAGGACTATACAGTCTTCGAGGTCCTACGGAGAAGACTGTGCGGATTTACAGAGAATACTGTGCGGCCCTACGGAGAATACTGTAAGAGCCTACGGAGAATATTGGTAAGAGGGCTACGGAGAATCCTGGCAAAAAAATTAACAGGATTTTCCGTACCTTTTTGCCACAGTGTAGCTTCCTGACGCTGCAGTTTTGAGAATTTATAAATACTGTTTTTAAAATTTGCGCTTTATAAAATATTAAATTTGCCCTACCGTGTTAATTTTACAATGAATGTATAAGCTCTTTCGTATGAAACGAGTGAACCACTCAAAATTAACAGGTTATCGTTTAATTAACGTGGAACGGGACGATATTTGCGATGTCACATCGGCAGCTGTGGTGGAATTGCAAAGTTACACTAGTTTGCGGGTGCCTGAGAATCCATATCGGGAGATGGGGGCGGTCTCGTCGTCTCTGGGCCAGGGAATCCGATGAGTGACCGAACGCTTCGAGCGAGCGGACACAATCACGAGTTAGAGAGCTTTGGAAAAGCTCCTCACGATTCTGTTCGCTTACTCGTCCCATCCCATCACGAATTAATCCCATACTTTAGAAGCCCTGTGCCTTCAGAACCTTTGACGCTATTTCTGCGTTTCTTTTGGCAGCGCAATCCCAGCAAGATGGCCCACTACATCCGCCTGATGTGGGTTCAGCTAGTCGTGGGCACCATTGCTGTCATCGTCATGTCTGTTCTTGTATCGCCTGTACTCCTACTCGCCTTCCTCTTCATTGGTGAGTACAATGCACAAGTTAATTTTCTTGAGGTTTATTTCAAGTTTTACAGTTACATTTTGTTGAGCGGACTTGAAAAGTCTTTACTTACTATGAATGTCAAAAATCTGTTCTCCAGGTTTACCCATCTACTGTCTCATCTGCGCCAACAGCCTCAAGATCCAGATGGAAACGAACAAGAACGGCCAGGACTTCGCGAATCCGATGGCCTAAGTCTGCGCAACCTCCGCGCAACCTCCATGCAGGCATCCGCAACCCCACACTCCCAGCGTGACGTCACGTTTAAACGAATGTGACGAAAAGAGTACTCCAAAGAAGCTCTGGCGCGGAAGAAGAACAAAAACGGAAGTAAGAAATTGCAGTTACTATGAGAAATATACGCTGCGCACAAGGTTCGCAGCGTATATTTCTCATATAAACAGCAAATTCTTACTTCCGTTTTTGTTCTTCTTCTTCCGGGCCTGAGCTACTTTGGAGTACTGTATTGTCACGTTCCTTTGAGCATTGTGTCACATTCGTTTGAATGGGAACAAGCTAAGTTTTGGCTGATTTGCGCTCAAACGAATGTGTCCAAGGAACGTGACATTTTGTCGTATCTGGTTCAATGTGATGCTAAAAGTGAGAGTGCACTGAAAGTCAAATGGTAACCTTACTTCGACCAGGAAATTTCAGACCGTCGGACGGGTCGAACTTGTTACCCAATTTTTTACAGCAATTGTTATACCGCCTTATATGGTACAGGAAACATTCTCACTGCATCGTGAGAACTGTAACTTTCACCGCTAGAGGTGACAATTTCAATTCTCATGTCATGAGCGAAGTATTTTTTTTTCAACACCCTCGGTTGCGTTTTCTGTGACATCTTAGTTTATCCTTCAACTTTTCAAACCCGTGTTACCGCATGTTACTAACAGTAAATAACCCCTTCAAAAGTGTAATCATGAAGTATGTAATCATCAAGTGTTATCATGAAGTACGAGTAATCGACGCCAACCGAACAGTATAACTTTAAAACAACATGCAAAAGGTCGATATTCCCTACACTTAGTACTTTGCTATGCGTCATGGGTTTCTGAAGGCTATATAAGGCTAAATCACGTTGGAAATGCTAGAGGAAGTACAATTTCGACGTTTTTCCTCAAGTAAGGTTAAATGAATTTTGTCTGCGTCTGTGCACCGAGAATCCAAAGACTTTGAGTATAGCGTCAATTGTTGCAGTTCATTTGAAGACGTATTTATCGCATCAATCAACGCCTCTCCTTCCATATGCATAGGGCATTTTTGGGGCCCATCCGTGTGTCTGCTAGCACCATTCTGAAGACCCCAGATCATTTACTATGAAAATTTCATCGAATTTGCTACGCTGAAATGGGATGGTTCGTTGAACCACTGTTATGTCATGTGAAAAAATGTATTTTTTACTGTGCAAATTTTATTTTGGTATGCTTTTTGTATGAGTCGTAAATGAAAAATAACCGAGTTAATCACTTTGGCAGAATCAAATATAATTGATCTCAGATTTGTCTCAAGTTGAGAGGGTGATTCATAAACCAGAGACTTAACGACTGCAGTGTTAAAGAAATTAGTTGAAATTTTCATAACATCGGTTTGCATTTTTCCACAAGCAATTAATACGAAAATTACAATTACAAAAAAGTGTAAATTGTTTTACAATCATGTTGCGAAAATTCATATCTGTTGTTTTCGAGGTTGTCTGAGGTCAGTGAAGCAATAGGTATTCAAGAACATGAACACACATCTTACCTACATCATTACATCAATTCAAGCGATTCGTCGTTTGCTTAGCCGGTCAGCCGGTTTTGAACCCGTGACCTTGGACTTGTGGTGTAAGATCTTTGCCGCTGTGCTACAACGTCGTCCAGGTGCCAGACAACCAACTACCTGACTATGCACGCGCCCCGTCTAAGTGGTACGAAACGGCTAAAAATGTAACAAAAATAGTTAAGTGTTCGGAACGACTTCTTGGACCATAAAAAGTTTAAAAAGTGACAGATAGGTACACTAGACGGTCGTATGGGACGCTCAAATACTTTTGTCACATTTTCAACCGGTTTCTTCTACGAGTTGCTGTTGACAGACATAACTTTCGACCCACATAACTGTAAATCCACATAACTAGTGACAGAAATAACGGATTTATTTCTGATATAAAAAAGCATTTATTATTTGAATTAAAATTATAATTGCTACAGACATAACATTTTACAGAAATAACCAAATCGCATATACATATAACTGTTGACAGACATAACATTTGACAGGCATAATATTTGATAGGCATAACCGTCGACAGACATAACTTTCGACAGACATAACTGTCGGCAGATCAATGCAAGAGCTTCCCGAGGGATTAATGGATAAAGCTTAAATTACAGCATGGTGGACTCAGCAGGGACAGCTGCTTCCAGTTCGATAGAGGGGCAAGATGAGCAGTGCCGCCTCTGCTTTGACCGCCCTAGAAATCACGCTGCAGTGCCGTGCGGGTATCGCATCTGTTGCAAGACCTGCGCGGGACGGTTGGACGAGAGCGCCACTTGCCCGCTGTGCAGGAAGGAAATCTTGATGATCGAAATTTTTGACAAGGCTTCATTTTCTTCTATTTATCCTCTATTTAATTTAACTTATATATATTTTTTTAAATTAAAAATTATTTCTGAATAAAGTTATATGTATTTAAAGTTATGTGTGTTTACAGTTTTTCAACCATAATTAATCCTCTTTTATGTCTGACACCAGTTATGTCTGTAGCCAGTTATGTCTGTCAACAATTATGTGGATAAACAGTTATGTGGGTTTAAAGTTATGTCTGAAGCAGAACTCCCTCTTCTACGGGCCATGCGCCATGAGCCGGTTAAGAAAGTTACAATCGGATTCGGAAAATTAGGTTCGGCACAAAATCGACATTTCAGTGTTGTAATTTTCAGAATGCGACATGAAAATTACTATTAACTGTTTCACGACTGGGTTTTGAATTTTCTAATCGTGTTATGAAATTTGCAATGTTAAGTTTATTCATATCCGTGTTTGGAAAATTGTCATCAAAACTGCTTTGTAAAATTGCAAACTTTTTGAACAGTGTATCTAGGACTCTCTTCCAGAAAGAAGGTCAGTAAGAAATTCATTTGATAGACCGATGACTGTCATGCTTTACGTTAGCCGCTATTTTTTTTTTTGGGGGGGGGGGGGGTCTCTTTTGGTGCCTGCTTGACTTTCTACTGAAAAGATTCCTCACTTTAAAGCTCCCGGTAATGTTATTGGCTTGATATTTGTTGTTTCTACACTGGTTTTATGGAAGAGTCTCAAGAGTCTATCATTGAGCGTGTCACGATAAACCTTGTGAATACAAATCGCCAGGACACTGCTTACAAGATGTTTTGTTGGATCTAATAAAGAAATTTAAACACTAAAAACCAGTGGAAACATTTTTGATAAACGTTATTTTCTATAATCTCTTCTCATCTTAAAATATAACTTAACCCACCTCAGAGAGATAGACACCTAATCGTAACCGTACGTTAGAGCATTATTCAGACACTTTCGAGGCTCTGCTTGGAAGTATGGCTTCAGATGCGATAATGTGAAGGAATCACAAGGCAACTTATCTCACCAGAAGTAAAACGTTATCATGCTGAGCAGTATCACTCCATTTCATAAGGTAGCATAGATGACCAAAACTCCAACAGTGGGTTCTTTTTTTTTCCTTCACATTTATCGCAAGTGCAAACTGCAGACCAAGATGCCAACCAAATGTTGTGCAGTTTGTCACTTTCCTTTGTGCAGGAATGTCACGAAGCCATCAGAGCAGCACGCACGAGGACGAAGTCAGACGGGCCCAGTGGCAGCGCAGCGGTCGCCCACTACGTTCACTGAAAAGTCAAAGGACGGAATTCATTCCATCCTAGGGGGAAGAAACAAAGTCTCGCCATTCTGTGGTGAGAAACAAAAGTCTCACCTTTTTTTGGCGAGAAACAAAAGTCTCACCATTTTTTGACGAGAAACAAATGTCTCGCCAAAACATGGCAATAATTGCAACCCTACTCTATTGGATACCGGGAAATATATCCCAGTCAATTACTGTATTTCCATATTTTGGCGAGACATTTGTTTCTCGCCAAAAAATGCTGAGACTTATGTTTCTCGCCAAAAAAATGGCGAGACTTTTGATTCTCGCCAAAAAATGGCGAGACTTTTGATTCTCGCCAATTTGAAAGAAACGGCAAGTGCATTTTATGTGAAGCTCAACTGCAGAAAAACTGTGGTTCATCTGAACAGTCGTTACGGCGGGAGGCCTTGTCATGTGGTCGGGGCATCGCACGCTCGTCCCCACGGGTGCTCAGCGTCGTGGATAACACAACTACTCCACAACACAAAAGATCCAGGACCGAATCCCAACACTGTAATTACACTTTCACAATTCCAAGATACGAAACATACCATGAGAGGGAGGGGGCACAGGGGAGGGGCATAGAAGGAGAGAAATAGAGTCGGAATGTCAAAAAATTTTGATTTTTGGCCCGTCCCGTTTATTTTTTGTAAAAAAAATGACGGAGGGACGGGCATATAGTATGATCCCTGCTGTGCGTCCGTTCGTTCGTCCGAGGACTTCCCGTGGTCCGATCTTGACCAAATTTGGTATGCAGCCTCCTTGGGTGACCCTAAGAACCGCCCGGTGGCAGCAAATCCGATCCGAGCCCCGGGGGCGCTGCTGCAGGTGCATCATGGTCTACATGGGGTCGAGGAGGATCTCGGCAACGGATGCAGCTAGGAGGTAGACCAGCTCTTATTTTGCGAAAGTGAGAATTCCGCTGGGTTCCCGGACTCAAAATGACCGAAATGGTGAGAAAACTCTTAATTTGAAAGCCCAAGGTCGTCAGACTTACCAAAGCCGTGCCCCAAGACCCTATTTAAAGGCAAAAAGCCAATTTTTTTTTTTTTCGGATTTTCACCAAACTAAGTTTGACACTAGGGTAAACAGGCCATAAAACAATCCTTCGGGCGAAAATTTCGTCCGTTTTGCGATATCTCGACTCCTTCATGCCCAAGCGGCCTCCCCAACCGCCCGCACGGCGTCTTTTTTATGCTCGCGGTTGGGGAGGCCGTTTGGGCATGAATGAGTCGAGATATCGCAAAACGGACGAAATTTTCGCCCGAAGGGTCGTATTCTGGCCTGTTTACCCTAGAGAGCGATTCTCACGTTACGGGGTAGTTTCGTTTCTTCTGACTCCTGTGCCCAAACGAGCGCAGATATCGACATGGGGTTTGTTTCTGATGTTAGGGAGGGCCATTGCCCACTAAACGCACACATTTCGAAAAGTTCACGTCCGTTGGATTGGTC